CCATTTTTCACCATCGGTGACAATTCTGTCCAAAAATGGTTCACGCGCATAACGTGCCAGAAGAGACGAAGCAACGTTCACACGTTAGAAACGATGATCATAGGAGAGTTCGTGAGGCACCCAAGCACCTTCTTTATGGAGTTTTTCCCATATTCCTTAAATGTTTACGTTTTGTTTCATGAGAGACAAACAATTTCAAGGCCATTTCACGAATGTGTTGCTTTGGGTTAGACTCAACAAGCGTCTTCAGAGCATCAATATCAATTCCAACGAAATTTGCTGAACCATCGTTGACACTTACGAACATTCAAAACATTTTCATAAACTTTTTTGATAGTCTTTGTGGCTAGAGAGGCGTTGTTTCCCTTCTTGTATTCAAACAGCATTACATGCCGAATGTATGTCTCGTCGTGTGTCATCACTATAAGACATTAGATCATACTAAACTTTACACATTACATAGGCTACACTAACGTGACGTTTAGGTGGTTCTTTTATCTATTATACGTGATGTACGTTTTGGGGGGGGTGGGGTGGCTAATGAAAGTGTTTCAATACGCGACATTAATTTCTTGACGACCTAATACAAAGTATATCCTAAATATCAGGACATCAAAACACGAATATTTAACATACAAAATAACTCAAACATAAACGTCAAACACACACACACAGTACCCTGAAGCAAACAGATCAGAAGAACACCCCTATTACCAACACCAAAAGTTCAAGTAATAAAAGGGCCAGGCATGGAAAGGTGGTTAGTGCGCTCGACTCGCAATCTGAGGGTCGCGGGTTCGAATCCCCGTCCCACCAAACATGCTTGCCCTTTCAGCTGTGAGGGCGTTATAATGTGACGGTCAATCCCACTATTCGTTGGTAAAAGAGTAGCCCAAAAGTTGGCGGTGGGTGGGGATGATTAGCTGCCTACCCTCTAGTCTTACACTGCTAAATTAGGGATGGTTACCTTTCCCCATTAAACACCTACATTAATTATAAGAAATAATCCCCCCCCCCCAGTAGCACAGCGGTATGTCTGCGGACTTACAACGCTAGAATCCGGGTTTCGATACCCGTGGTGGGCAGAGCACAGATAGCCCATTGTGTAGCTTTGTGCTTAATTACAAACAAACAAACAAAGAAATAAGCCACATATAGCTAGCAACTAAAATTTATCATTAGAGAGAAATATTATGAGTGTATTAATAGGGTATATAATGTATCCCATTACCCATTCAAGCTGTCTCCAGCCATTATATGTAAATACATTCGTAGTAGGTTAAGCTTTTGAAAAGTGCGCAATTATCTATGGAAGTTTTAGTGAATTTGCAATACTACCGCCCAGACCAGACATTAGCGCCGGGGTGGAGGAAAAAGTCTGCATAGCACCTGACCTTCCCAGATCCCGATCAAGATAAATTTAGACGGCGACGGGCGCTTCTAAAGGATTAAATGTTTGCACGTGTATTGTATACATTCTTCTAAATGTTTATATATTCATTATGTACATTTTTGTAAATGTTTATACATGCATTATGTATGTTCTTGTAAATGTTTGTACATGTATGATGTACATTCTTTTAAATTTTTATTCAAACGCATATACCAGTGTCTTAGACCACTAAGAAATTCCCTCAAAGCTATACAAAAACACATGGAGTGCTTACGACAGCTACACTCTTCCCTTAAAGACGTACCAAGATAGATGTAGAATATTAGACCACCATGCCATTCCCTAAAGACCATATCAACAGAGTTGAAACATCTTAAATGAATAAGTCATTTCTTCAAAGCTATATCAACAGAGATGTAACTTCTTAGACCACTACGCCATTTTATAAAAGAAAAACCAACAAAGGTGCTAATAAGCAATTATTTTAAAGCCATATAAACATCTTAGGCCACTAAGTCATATACTCAAAAGAATGCTAGTACAGAAGGTGTTGTTTTCAGGAAAAGACTTGGGGGTTCAAGATGATACAATACAGATGAATCGTCTTAGGCCATTAGACCATTCGCTCAAAACTGCCCCAAAACAGTTTCAGTGTGTTAGATCACTAACGTATTCATCAAAACTCTTCCAAAACAGATGCAGCGTTTTAGACCACTACGCTATTCCCTAACAGCTATACCAAGACAGGTACAGACTCAACATTTTAGACCATTAATATATTTTCTTAAAGCCATTGCTACACGGATGTAGCATATCCGATCATAATTCATTCCGTAAAAGCCATTTACTTAAAGCTGTACCAACATAGATGCAGCACCTACAACCACTAAGTCATGTATTCAAAGCTCTACTAACACAGTTCGAGCGTATATCACTTCGCCTTTTCTCAAATTATACCAACAGAGATGCAACATTTAAATCAAAAAGCCATTCTTTGAAAATTATACTAACTTATATGTAGCATCTTAGACGAACTAGCCATTCCCTGAAAGCTCTTTAAACACAAAAGCAGCGTCATAGACCACTAAACCATCTCCTCAAAGGTATTCCAACACAGATGCAGCGTTTTAGACCAATAAGCCATTCTCTCATAGCTATATTAGCACAGATACAGCGTATTAAGCCGTTAAGCCACCCTCTGAAAGCTATACTAACACAGATGTAGTATTAGACCACTGAGTTATTCTTTCAACCCTATACAAAGAATTATGCATCGTGTTAGATCATTACACAATTCCCTCAAAGCTACACTAACATAGATACAGCATAATAAATAAGCCAGCCATTCCCTCATTTCAAATTTTTATCTTCCCCTAAGTTCTTAAGTCTTCAGTCTTATTCTAGTAACTATGGAGAGAAATTAATCACAAAATTAATAAAAATATTCATATACGCGCTATGGTTATCAGATTACACTTCAGATTACTATATGTTTTGTCTGTTCAACAGGGAGAGTAAGAAGAACAATAATTGTGCTACTTGTTTACTGCTTATTTTTCTCGTAATCTAAAACAAATATATAAAGCTTTTGTTTTTAATTTAATGTAAGAAATTCAGATCTGTGCAGAAAAATACGATAAATGACATTGAAAAATTTGGAACATCTGTGGGAAAACTTCAGATTTGTCCAAAAACTCATTTTTTTTATATATAAAATTACCGTAGTGTTACTACTAAAACTTTAACATGTGAATATAATTTGATAATATACAAAGATAAAGCAAGATTGTATTAATAAATATGTTGAGATAATTAACACCGTCGTTGTTATAACAATGTTATAGTAAGAATACTGGAGCTGTTTCTTTAAGTCAGCATTGTTGAGATTTACTACAACCCGTTAAGCTACAATTCTTTAATTGTATAAACTCACAGACATAAACTTCTTTCTAGTTATCATTGTCCTCACATATATATTTAGAACATCACACGATTGGACTTAGATTAATGGTTTGTATATTTTTAAGCGCAAAACTACACAAAAGGCTATGTACGCTTTGCAACCCATTGATATTTAACCCGAAATGTTAGCGTTATAAGTCCTCAAGCTTGCCGCTGAGCTACATGGAACGATGGTTGGTTGATGCAAGTTCATATATATGGTCCATATATATATTCATCTAACAAAGTTTACAAGATAACTCTTCGACATTTGTGGAAAAATAAGTATAGTAAGTGAGAGCTAGAAAGTTCAATATACAAAAGAAATAAAAATAAGTCTTCTAATAATAATATGTCTTTCTTTGAATAACGTCACTTTATTGACGGTTAAACTATTAATAATCGTTTAAATAATTCACTGTTTCAAGTTTAAATACTGTAGTTTCTTAGTTTATCTTAAGCCTGTTTTTCGTTTTATCTTATTTTCCTTTAGTTTTTACTTTTTATTAAGATCATTAGTTTGATAAGAAATTTATTTGTTAAACATTTCTAATTAATTTTGTTGCTTTCACGCCATATGTTTTTATCACGTTATTTTAGATTTCCTTTGGCAGTATGACCGTTTTTCCTCCTCTTGTAGTTTTCATGAAGCAGAAGAACAGCAGAGTGGTAAGTTTTCCCATGTCTTTCATTTTTCACGATGTCTTTTGATCAGGTATGAGGACAAGTCTGAAATATTAAAGAGCATTTTATATGAAACTAATTAACTGAATGACAATTTATTCTCATGTCTCATTTTTCACGATGTCTTTTGATCAGGTATGAGGACGAATCTGAAATATTAAAGAGCATTTTATATGAAACTAATTAACTGAATGACAATTTATTCTCATGTCTTTCATTTTTCACGATGTCTTTTGATCAGGTATGAGGACGAATCTGAAATATTATGAGTAACAATATGCTAATTACATTTTGTCCAATGATGCTTATCATTAATGTGATATTTCTGTAGAAGATAATAATTAAAATCAAGATTTTGTTAATTAATAATGCCATTTATTTATGAATTTCTTACAATGAAATAACTAATCTAAAGTTTGATCACCAAAATGTTTTAAGTAATAGTTAATCGGAAATCTGATAATCAGTTGTATTTTTTTAACATTTAAGCGGAGATGTGATCACCAGGTTGATATTTTTCACATATAATATATAAGGTTATATTCAGTACATCTAAATATACCTTTTCCACAGTAACATGTCCCAGGACTGATCTTAATTCAAATTACATTATTCCTTAGTAGGCCAGTTTGAATTTCTTTTAAGAAGTACTTGTACCAGTATCTCATCTCTACCTTATGTGTTGCACGCCGCAGCATCCCGACGAAGACTTTCGTTAAATACCAGGAATCATTAAGTCGTTTGGGATATAAAATGCAAAGTATTTGGTATTTTCATTATGAACAGCACTTTTGCGACACATGTACTAAACGGAAAGATCAGATACTCCAGAGGTTCAGCATAGCCATCTCTCACTTTGAACTACTGACCAGAAGAAGGACAACTAACTAACAAAACTTGTCACTTAGATGCTTACTTTTAAGTGAATAATGTCATTTATTTCCAGTTTTATATCGCGCTCACAGCTGACAGTGTTGAGCGTCTTCAGCAGCATATCGTGGGCTCGAACCTGGGACCTTCTGATCTGCACATTAACCACTATCAGTCTTTGATGAAACAATAAGTCTTAGAGTATAGAATGCCTTAGCTGGCGGATCATGGCATTTTACAATTTTACATGCGTGACGTGTGTTACGTATTACAATTTCGAATGGTCTGAAACCGAGCTAAATGATAATTTAAAGTTAGTAGTTAAATAAATGCCGATATGTATCCAATTTATGATATTTACCAACAAGATTGATACACACAGTTTTCTTTTTTTAATATAAATATATTTTAATACAAAAACAGTAATACAATTTACAATAACAGTTATTACAAATATACACC